TTTGTTCCAATTCGATCGTAAATTTTATGTTGCTTGTTTTACGATTTATTTATTCCTGTGAGAAATTCATCGATGTTTTGTTTTTTATGAAGTCATGATCGATTATCAATCATATATGCATAAAAGACGTGTAGTTAATTGCCTTTCTGTTCTTTTAATTTTCTTTGCTCTTATTGAATCTAATCTGGCGTCAGTGTTTATTCTGATGAGGACGAGTGAATAACATCGAAATATTAATAATAAATCAAAATAATAGTACTGTAATTTGTATTAATCATATTTGTAGCAATCTTGTATTTCTTATTACTGCTTTAGAAAAATATTTTCTTACTAATATTTGCCAAAAATATGACGGGTCTATTTTTTTATCTATCCGACGTCTTGAGAAATTATTAACAAGGTACCAAAAGGGTAAATGTGACAGTGAATTCTTGCGATTGACGCTTATCTACAATTAAAGATCAAAGTTTGTTTATTTTAAAATGTGGAAAAATGAAATTAAATCTCAAGAAAAGTATCATCCTTATCAAAAAGAATGTATTCAATTAGAATAGAAAAATCATTATAAGGATTAGATGAAACTAAAAAGAAATAACAAATACTGGAGACATATTAAATACTTTACAGCTAAAGTTACCAATGGATGATCACAATGATCCAAAACAGTTCTTTTATGAAAAATCCAAATGTGAAAAGATAGAATAACAAAAACTCATGAGAAGAAATTAAATGCATTAAATAAGGGAAATATCGGACAAGATTATAACACATTAAAGACTAAAATATTACACAATATTTCTAGTTATATAACTCCTATACTATAGATATACATTCTCTTTCAAACTATACAGTATCCATCGAATAGAAGTAATTTCTTATTTTGTTCCCATATAGATGCTGATATAACTTTATTTATTTAACGCCAACAGCAAAAAATACAAAGATAAGAAGAGCATGCAAATCGAAATAAAATTATTATATGTCTGGATCTATTCGACAAAATGAGACATTAGTAAAACAGATAAGAGAGTAAAAAGAAAAAAATGAGAGATGGTGATGAGAGAGATAGAGAAATTTAAGTAATCAGAGAGAACTCCATCCATGTGACATTGTGTAAGAACAAACAATACAGAAGCATCAAGTCAATCAAAGCGTTTAGTTGAACGAATATATTGAAGAATAAAATTAAAAATTGATAGTAGATCATCTCTATTCAATGTACGGATAGAGTGATGGTGGAGTAATATGTGATCTAAAGTGATGGAGAATTTATAATACCGCGTATCTGTTGAAACATACGCTGTCGCTGCTCTTTATAATCAATACATTCCAAAAAGAAGTATTTTACTGTTTCCTTATCAGCGCCACAGTTACATGCCGAAGACCGTGCCAAGACATAAGTGAAAAGAGGTCCATTTAACTGAGGAAAACCTAGTCTACAGCGTGTATGGTGAATTTCAAGAGAACGATCCTGCACTAGAGGAATATGAAAAGGTTGAACATATTGAGAAGTTAGGTAACATTTAAAGTCTTTTAGACGGTGCAATTGTTTAGCATTGTCATGCAGCATATTCCACTGTCAACTGCCTTCACGTATGAATGTTTTTTCAAGAAGAGCACAATCTCTAAAAAAAATAGGAGTATTTTTAGTAGCAGAGCTCCTGGTGTTATAGGAATGATGATTGCGATTAGAACACAACTCAATAAGATAAAAAGGCACTATACAATTCATAATTTTATTATTTATTTATTTATTTGCAAATAACTGATGACCAGTATGGTCTTCTCAGTACCAAGTATATAGCAAGAAAAGAGAAAGAAAAAAGAAATGCAGAAAAAAAGGAGAATAACTTTTTCCATCACATCATTAGACCTAATAAGTAGTAACAAAATCTGACATGGTAAACAGGTACATAAAAATGACATAAATTACATCTTAACGATAACCCAGTATAGAGACAAAGTTAGAAAGAAACTGCCAGTACAGAACGATCATTCCCCACCTAGAAAGTTTCTGGAAATGCTTGAAGAAGTAAAATATCATTAATATTCAAATTTGGAATCGAGCAGATGGAGGTGTTGTCTGCACACCAATGAACGCACTTTTCAAGGATAGTAGTATGCTCCACGAATCTTTTAGATCTTCTCAGACGTCTGATAGAATTTTCCTCATCTATCCAACACCTTCGAAACTCATTGAGATTTGCCTGTTCGAATAAGAGTTCGCCGTCTAGATTCGGCCAGGGCGGCCCAATAGTTCTCCCAATGTCGATTACACCGATCATCCAGAGACATCTCGTTGAAAACAAATGCGAAGAAGGAATCGGACCATTGCATGTTAAAAGTAACTCGCTTCAAACAAGTATAATAAAAGTGCGACAAGTCCGAGCGTTGTTTTTCGGTGAAAAGAGGATAAAGAGCAAAAAGCCACGTAAAAATAGGAAGTATGTAACAGGAAAATAAAGCTCTTCTTAAGTCAGAAGAAGTACGGTAGATTCAGAGATACGGCAGGTGATAACCATTGCAACGCGCTGTCCACACATCGCACCCGAAGCAGTAAGACGTGCTTGATACTGAATTTGGTTCAAGCGAATGATATTTTTAGTAGTTGTTCCCCCATAGATAACAAGTCGGTAGTTAATAACACTAAGAACAAACGCATGGTAGACGGAGACCAAGGTTTGACGGGAAACACGTCTGCTCAAACATTTCATTGAATCGACTACGCGCAGTAGTTTAGTGCGAATATTGTTGATATCAGGCAACCAGTCTAACTTTGGTTTCAACGTCAAATCCAAGTGAACGTGTTTCCCAACATATTCTAGTGCTATATTATCAATAAACAAGGAAGAAGAAGGAAATAGGGTTGTATCATGGGAAAATAACATGGCGACACACTTATCAATATTTAGTGGCAGAGACCACTGCTTAGACCAAAGATTGATTCTGTTCAAATCATCGTTGTTAGTAGAGACAGCTCTTCCTAAGTCATCCGCGTCACTATACAATGACACGTCATCAGCAAACAATTTACAGCCAGAAGTTAATCCCAGGGAAAGATCATCGGTAAATATTAGAAATAGGAGAGGACCTAGTACTGATCCCTGTGGAAGACCACAAGAAACAGGCAGGGGATCCGAAGTGGTACCATCAACCATAGTAACCATTTGTCTGTTTGTTAGGTGGCTTCTAAACCAATCGATAAGATCATTCGGAATACCTTTACATCTTAGTTTCAGGAGAAACCCGACGTGGGACACCTTGTCGAATGCTTTAGAAAAATCCCAAAAAGCTGCTAACACTGGTTTGCTCTGATTAAAATTGTTTGCAATAAGATCAACTATAGCAACAAGTTGATTTACAGAAGAATCATTCGGAAGAAATCCCGACTGATCAAATTCTGTTATTGCTTCTAAATATCTGCAAATCAAGTTATTGCTTCTAAGAAAGCCCAAGACATGTTTATAAACAACTCTCTCAAAAACTTTTGACAATGTGCTCAAAAGAGTTATAGGCCTATAATTAGAGCAAATCTGAGGATCATCAGCTTTAAACAAGGGCAAAACATGTCCAGTTTTCCAAATACTGGAAAACTCCTTATTGTTGAGTGACTCATTAAAGGCGTGGGTAACAACAGGAGTAATAACAGCAGCTGTAGTGTTCTGTTAAATTGTTTTTCTTGTGTGTTTAAAGGCATTCTGTTTCCCAGCCTCTACTTGTCCATATCTTTAACTAATATATGTTAACTGCAGGAGCAGTTGAATTTGAAGGGATGTCACATCCCTTATCCCATATCTAATGGATGACGCACATCAGTACGGTACCTGCGTTTTACTCTACTTTTTGTTCTCTCACATTCATCCCTTTTTGCCCTTCGCAAAGCCTATAATGAGTAAATACCCGACTGATGATGCTTTCTTTTAAATAAAACTGGTTAAATCAGATGTATAGCCGTTACTAACAGTCTTAGTTAGAGTTATTGTTGATTTTGTATGTAGTCTGGGTAATTATTTTTGTGATGTTACATTTTTATTCAAAGTACCGTGACACGATCAGAAAACAGAAATATTTTCTTATTATACCTGGTAAAGCAACGCCGAGTAACTAGTAAAGTGCCTCGCCTGCTTCTTACAGAGGTCTCCCTCCGTAGCAGTGTACTAAGGTCAAACCAAGTCGGCCCCTGAAATAAAAGTTAAAGAGAGCAGGCCAGTCGTCATCACTGCGCTCATCAGACAAAAGGTTGATTGAAGTGTACATTTTATTTTTTAAAAATAAAAGGCTATGATAAGAAGTGAAAGAAGGAGTGACTATTGATTAATCAGGTCGAATAGTCACTTACAGTTCCGTATGCACCACTGATAGCATCGTCTGATAGATATCCATAGTGGTTGTCACAGGTATGACCACTGACTACAGTAGACAATAATGTACCGTCTATACTAGCAACATTTACATAATAGACGTCAGGGACACCTAGGCCACAATACTACCATTAGTTTATATTGATTCTTATTATCTAATGTCACTTACAGACAAAAACAGTTCTAGATGGCGCCACATGTACCAGTGGATGCAGCTCTGCGGGTACTTTCGATTCATGTATGATATGTCTTTTTTTCTTCTCAACTACAAACATTACATAGGCAAAACACACCCAAAAACTTGTTTTGCGTTTTTGTCAAAACAGATTTTTCGTCCAGCACCAGAAAACCAGTTTTATAGAAACTCTGAAAAATAACCCAAACCTTTTCTTAATAAGGCATGATTGTAGCCCGCAAATTTCTGAGATCTCTCCCAGCTCTTCGCGACCTTTCTTTACAAAGTTATAGAATTTACAAGAAAAGCCCTAAATATTCATGGTCAGGTTTTTTTAGGATTTTGCATCTCTAGAGGATCAACAAAGGCCGAATTAAAAAACCCGGTCCTATCAGTCCTCGCAGTTAGGTGTCTAAGCTGTAGTTGAAACTGTTGAATATATGAAAACCAAAAGAAAGAAGTGGATGAGCAAAGGTAACTGGCAACTAATAGAGAACAGGAATAAAATAAAGGTCAAAGCACAAGAAAATGAAATAACATTCAAAGAATATAAATTATTAGATAAGGAAATAACGAAAGCCGCAAGAAGAGATAAAAACAAATGGATGGCAGATATAGCAAAAGAAGCTGAAGTGGCGGCAGAAAAAGGAAAGACTCGGAAACTGTATAAATTAGTGAATGAAATATGCACAAAACATAAGGTTGCAAATGAGCTGCCAGTTAAAAGTACTGATGGTACCCTAATAACAACAGCAGAGGGGAAAAAAGACAGATGGGGAGAATATTTTGAACATCTGCTCAATAGACCAAACCCAGAGCAACAGGCAGTTCTTGAAGAAGGAAAGAGTTGGTTATTAGACATCAAGAAAGATGCAATTACTCTAAACGAAGTAAAGCAGGCCATAAGAAAATCGAAAAACAACAAAGCTCTTGGAGTAGATAAGATTAGTGCAGAAATGTTAAAGGCTGGTGGAGATATAATAGCAAAACGACTGCAGAAGCTGTTGAATCAAATATGGAAACAAAATAAAAGCCCAAAACAATTTAAACGTGGTATTATTGTAAAGTTGCCAAAGAAAGGTGATTTACGTGATCCAAATAATTGGAGAGGTATAACGCTATTGTTAATACCTGGAAAAGTGCTTTGTGGAATATTAGCAGATAGGATAAGACCAGCAACAGAGAAAGCTTTACGTAAAGAACAAGCCGGCTTTAGACCAAATAGAGGGTGTAGCGATCAAATTTTCACCCTAAGAAGAATTATAGAAAAATCAATAAACAAAAGATATGGTATTATTTTGAATTTTATTGACTTTGAAAAAGCATTTAATTCAATACATCAGGAATCATTATGGGAAATTCTAAAGTCATACGGTATACCAATAAAAATCATATAAATCATCAAACGCTTATATGGAGATGCTGAGTCGTGTGTGAAAGCAAATGCAGAAGAGAATACTGCATGGTTTAAGATCAAGACGGGAGTTAGACAAGGATGTATTCTTTCACCTTTACTGTTTATTATTGCGATGGGGTGGGTACTTCAAAAAGCTCTGAAAGATCAAAAATTAGAAGTTAAATTGAATTATAACCAGGAAATAGAAGATTTTGAATTTTGCAGACGATATCGTACTTATAGCTGATAATACACAGAAAATGCAAGAAAAAACAGATCGTATAGATACTCATAGTAATTAATTTAAATTAAAATGAGACATCTCCCAACTCCAGTTGGGAAATGTCTCATTTTAATCAGAAATGTGCGGGCTACAAGCATGACTCATTCAGAAAAGTTTTGGTTGTTCTTCAGAGTTTCTGAAAAACTGTTTTTTCAGAAAACCGGGTCTTCGAAGCCCTAAGAGCAGCTCTCATATTCATATTCGGAATCAGCATCATCGATAATCTTTAACCCACTAGGTTTCATTGAAAAAGCGAGTGGCACTTAAAAACGTTCCTTCGAGAGTTTACTCCTTCACGGTATTAAAAAAATGTAGAAATAAAAAAACGAAAAAAGTAACAAATGCTGCTCTGTTATATCAGTCCTCCCTTCTTTGAAAAATACCAAAGCAGGGCATTCGTATCACAACTAAAGCATTATGAAGTTCCGGAATGAGAACGCTTATCGCCTGGTCCATTTGATCATTGTACAGCATATGTTTGTTGAAAACCTTTTCTTAAACATTGTAATAGAATTGACGAAGCAAACTCGTATAGTGAATAAATCAAACTTATTAGCAGAAATAAATCAACGTTCCAATGTCGAACAAATACCGAAAAACCATTAAGGCAACTAAAGCATTAGCAAGCCGATGCTCCCCGTTGAATAAATTAACTTGTTGAAATTAAGAACCTGACACCAAACACATCCTCCAATACGTTTGGTTGCTAAGAAAAATTGAAAACAAAACGACACTAAAAACAACAGCTAACCCATTGGAACTTTTGGAAATTAATTAATTAATTTGGTTTTCTGAAAAAACAGTTTTTCAGAAACTCTGAAGAACAACCAAAACTTTTCTGAATGAGTCATGCTTGTAGCCCGCACATTTCTGATTAAAATGAGACATTTCCCAACTGGAGTTGGGAGATGTCTCATTTTAATTTAAATTAATTACTATGAGTATCTATACGATCTGTTTTTTCTTGCATTTTCTGTGTATTATCAGCTATAAGTACGATATCGTCTGCAAAATTCAAAATCTTCTATTTCCTGGTTATAATTCAATTTAACTTCTAATTTTTGATCTTTCAGAGCTTTTTGAAGTACCCACCCCATCGCAATAATAAACAGTAAAGGTGAAAGAATACATCCTTGTCTAACTCCCGTCTTGATCTTATAAAATTCTATTGAGCACCAGAAATAGGCGTGCAACAATCCGATAGTTTGGTCACCGAACGGTTTGTTACCGAACATGTTCGGCCCGGAAACCTGATACGACCGAGCGTGACGAATATTGCAAATACGATAGTTAATATTTTTCTCATCCGAGATATCGACGCGTGTTCTACTGGGAAACTAATAGGACAAAGTACCATAAACCTTTTAAAGACACATTCGAATTAGGGCTACAACTGTCTGTCTGCTTTATTTACATAGTGAGGAATAGCAGATTGCATGAAAATAAGGCAAATCAATCTGCTACAGAGGCCACATTACTAAAGTATACTTTAGTTAGAAGGTAAATCAGATATAGTGAAAACTAAAGGTACTTTGATCTTCCTGGAATAAAGTAGACATGAAGTTGCCGCAGTAATTCAAAATTTTTGTACATGCCAATCTACGGCTACGGCGTAATCATGGCTGCTCCTTCGTTTGGTGTAATCTTCGCTATTTTTTGTTTTACTGAGATTTCTTTCATGTGCATTTTCGCTCTCATGTTCTTAGCTTTGACAAACTATTTCTTTTAAACCTTTGGTAGCGAATCGCTTGCTGACCGAACATGTTCGGTACCGATTCGGTAGAACACACATTCGCTCACATTGTACACTAGTTAGTCTATTTTCTCACTGGTTAGTTTCTTCAAAAACTTCAATTTCATCCCATTTGTCTTTAGTTCAGACTTGGCATGCAACACTCCCAAGATAGGGTTCGCTGATCGGCACCGAACATGTTCGATTGCGAACCGTTCGGTGCCGATCAGCGAGCCCTGGTTTGGGATTGTTGAATGCCTAACCAGAAAGCAGTAAATGATAACTTCAAAAATCAAACTCTGTCAACTCCTAGCCATAGGGGTTTACTGCAAAACAAACAAGCCTGAGCACTCCTACTTTGACATGGTCAACATTCCCTGGAAGTTCGATTCAGGTCAGACCTATGTGGATTGATATAGGTTTCTGACTGGGCGGTAGGCCTTAACGAGAGAAGATTACCAACTGTCTCCTCGCTTTTCCTTAAAATATAGATGGTTATAGATAATTATCGATGCTGATTACAAACCTGATATTCATTTGGGCTGATGTGAACTTTTGAGTGGGTCTTTGAAATTGGCTGCTGAAGATCCATCGTAAGGTCCAGGATGAAGAGATTTTGGTCACTCCTGTAGAACAAGTCGAATGAGGATGATTCCATTTCTGATGTTGATTTCGACTATAAGCTCTGTCGTGAATACAAATATTATATACAAAAAACGTTATTGTTCTATTTTTCTCAGGATCCAGAGCGCTGTAAGGCTTTCTAGTTAGTATACATTGTAGAGGACGTCGAATACTACAGACCACCTCCTAAGAATGCATGAAAATTTTAGCGAAGCCAGGACATTGAAGTAGAGCCCAGCGGGATTGAATTTTTTCGTCCCGATCCCGAAAAATACTTTTCGCCAATTCCTATCCCGATCCCGTAGGCTTAATCCCAATCCCGATCCCGTCCCGTAGGCATAATTACAATCCCGTTAAATCCCGAAATTCTTTTTCGCTAAAACAGCCGAATACATGAACTCAACCACAACTATTGATGAAGAAGGAGGGGAAGATGTTTTAGACTATTGGAGAAAACATCTACAAGCATATCCAATGATATCATCTATTGCTCGAGAAATTCTCGCTATTCCTGCATCAAATACAGAAGTAGAACGACTGTGCTCGTCTACCAAAAACACTGTCTCCGATCGTCGTATCAGTTTAGGTGCAGAAAAAATTAATAAACTAATGTTTCTCCAAAAGAATTTGTGGACATTGAAATGGAGAAAAACGAGACAGTTGAATCAACTGTCTCGTCAAGTATCAACTGTGTTGATACACCTGCGTCAAAACGAAAACCACTAGATGAAAATGAACAGCTACTTGTAACAAAAAAAATCTAAAATTCAAATTGAACGTGATGATATAGATGACGATTGAATTGAAAAGAAAATTAGGCTTTCCCCGTCTGTCATTATCTCGGTACATCAGTGTTTAGACTGTTGAACATACATTTTCTTTTTGACTTTCATACTGACATGTAGGCTTTTAAAGAGATATTGTCTTTATTTATGTTGTACAACGATGTATACGCAAGCAAACTGATATTTTGTTTGTTTACTTTATTTTTATGATAAAGAATATAGTTCCAATAAATTGGAAGAAGAAAATCCCGATCCCGTTCAGCAGCTTAAATCCCGAATCCGTTCGTAAGCTTGATCCCGGTCCCGATCCCGTAAATATTTGTCCTCCTATCCCGATCCCGCGGGATCGGGATGATCCCTCAGGGCTCTACATAGAAGCCTGAGCTGATGTGTGATTAGCTTTAAATTGGCGGAATGTTTTTGACGTTCTATCCTTGTGTATTCGAGGTTAATGCATCAGAATCTGGCTAAACAATTTTTTGCTAGTTAGTATTGGCTGAAAAAGATATTAAAAAAGTATATTCTATTAGGAAGTGTAGCCTATTTAAAATTCAGTAGGAACTTCATGATTTATGTGAAGGCGGACCACTCAGACCTCTCGACTTTGCAATGATCTCATGGATATTTGTTCTGTCGACTCTAAAACTTTCACGAAATTTGAAGAGAATTGCGTGCATCGTAGCAGAGTTCCATGCTCATATCCTAAAAGTCTTAGTTGTACAACATTTTTAATTTAAAAAATAAAAGAAATTAAATTATTCAAGTTATCATGCAGTCTCCTTTCCAAGATAATTGTAATATTTATGTCATTAAATCATTCACTTTACTAATACTCGCTTTAACTTCGATTATGTTTGGATGATTCATCGGTAAAGATGAAGTATTGTATTTCGTGAGAGCTTGTTCATAGTTTTCCAATGCCTGTTTGTATTCTTTTTTTCCTTGATATGCATCACCCATATTATGAAATGTTGTTGCAATAGCAAGATGATTATCGCTCGAACTATTCTGTTGAATGTTCAATGCTATATTTAATATTTCTAGTGCTTCATCGTATCGACCCCTACTGTTATTGAGATCACCGAGATTAGTATAACTCGCAGCACCTTCAACTGGATCAATTTCCAAGTGTTTACGATACATAATTTCTGCTTTATCTAGTTCATCCATTTCTTGTAATAGACTACCCAAAGAACCAACATTAACAGCACCCATATCTTTCGTGTAATTGTCAAACAAATCTTTAAATTCATCATCATTTTCACTCAACATTGTGAGTTGAACAGTCCAGACTTGATATTCCTTATCAAACGTTACATTAACAATTTGAAATATGGTACCGAGCATAATCAATATTTTATTCTCTCCTCCAGAATAGCTTAAATGAGATATATCTGAATAGGGTTTTGTTTCTAATAAAGTATTAATTTCAATTTGAAATAAAACCGGTTGCAGATCAACAGACGAACAGTAACGTTTCACAAATTCGAGTGCAACTGTTTTATTTTTAGAGGTCGATAAAAAAGAATTTATTGAGAGAAATTCACCAACATTCTCTTTTATTTGATTGAATTCTTTTGTAGACATTACGTGACAACGATAAACGTATAAATTAGTATCGTGTGACGTATCGAGAAACCGTTTTTGGTCTTGTTTCAATTGTTCATAGAGATCAGCAATGAAAAAATGAAAATAAAATAAAATTTCCAAATCTTGAATACGCAATGCTTTATCCAATATGCGAGAGTGACAAGAACCTCTTGTATACCACCAGATTGCCATTTCTGACTGATAATTTGTCTCAAATTGGTCGAGAATAGCTGTCTCACTCAGATTTCCATCATAAAGTTTTCTACATAATCCAAGTAGTTTTTCTCTGCCAGTTTCTGGATGTTCCATTCTCAGTAGAACATCGATGAATACTTGAAACCACATGAATAAATCATTCAACGACGTAGAAGACTGCACTGATCGATTATAGAAACTAAGAGGTATTGTTGCGTCATTTTCAAGTTTCTCTCGCTCCGTTTGATCAATCGATAGTTTTCTAACTAACTCATCAGTATCGATAAAAACACCATTTACCTAGAGAAAACAAAGAGAAGAAAGATAGTGTCGTGAAATCCATCTTTCAATCTGACAGGCTTTATGTGTGTTAGCTAAAACCATTTTTCAGCAAAAGCTTCCTTGTGTAGACTCAACATAGAGCGAGTTAAAAATATTTCAAAACATGAGCACCAAAGCAAATTTAAGAATTTCTAACTAAATATATAGGACAAAAAATAGCATAGCATTTATTGGGTACGATTGAAAAAGTTGTAGAATGTCAGGCCGAGGTATCAAACATTCTGTTACGTAGAGGAAATATCTAAAATACAATTCAACTTGACATAATGCATTCGACTCGTCGTTTACCTACTCTATCTAACGGCTGAATAAGAAGAAAAAATTAGAGATAGTAAATGGAGATATTTGCGTTTTCTACTACTTCCACGTCTACTACTAAGTCTCTTGCGCATAATTCCGTTAACTAGATCACTAGTCCTATCAATTCTTGAAAAAGTTCATTGTTTTCAAGTCGAAGAAAAAATTCCAGTATTTTACTTTTTTTGAATGTCTCAGAGGTCTTCTATTTTCACTATCAAGATATCATAAGGCTTCAGGGGCACAATTGACGAGTAGTTTTTTGCATGCTAAATCTAGTTTTGCTATTTATCCGACCCAAAAAGATCGATATCTATACAACGACGTCGCGATGATTTTTAGAAGAGGTGGGCACAAAAAATATTCTGATTTCCTAACATTGTTTTTTCCCCTTTTTATCCCGTTCTGAAGTGCTACTGCTTCCACCTAGTGAATTTGCCCTTTTCCTAAGCACAGTCCAATTTTTCTACGAGTTAGAAATAAGAGAAATACAGGCTTAAATCACATGCTAAACAGCGGATACTTTATGATGAAACAGAACATTTTTTTGCTTAATACACAGATTAAAGGAAATCCATCAATTATGACTATCAGTACATACCAGAAAATACAGAACGAACAAGAAAAATGTTTTTTTTCATGCTGCATTACTTTCTATTCTAACTAAAAACAAAAAAGATTCAAATCCTGGAGGAAATAAAACTCCAGGGGCTAGGCCTAGGTTCATCCAGGATCCATGGCTGCCGCTGTATGTACAGGTAAGCGATACTGGCTGTTTTGCGTAAAAAACTAGCCAATTTTAAAAGATTTGTAGACATGCGACAAGAGAGGTTGAAAATGAATTTTTTTCCAAGAACTGACGATGCTTGTAGTTTAAACGGGAAAATAAACAAAAGTTCAGTGCGATTTGCCTTTTTTTCCAAAAGAATCTAATGGCAACGTGTGAATCATATGTATTATTTTCATTTAAAGTGCTGTAAAAATAATTTTTATATTTGATTGAACAAGAAAAGGCGAATCGATTATGTTGTGTCAAGTTGATTTTGAATTTTGTTTTGTTGTGAATATTTGTTTTACACAAAGAGAATCTCAATGACATTCTAAAAATTTGTTAATCATACTGGATAAACGTATTATTTTTGTGTTATTTATTTCGAGTCGTTTTGGAAAAAAATTCCCGCTGTGACTCATATAAAAGTCCCTTATACTGACATCATAAAAACAGTTTAGATTAACTCGATATATACTGACTGGCATTTGAAAACGTTTGGCTTATGTTAGCGTACAAAGTTGTTATAAATAATTGCGAACTCTCTATGGAAACGTCAGAAGCAGCTGTTCTTACCTTTTTATAATTTTTTGCCCATTGTTCATTGAAAGCTTTTTGTGCACATAAGACGTAGATAGCAGCTAATTGAGGCAAATCATGTAGAACTGGTACATATTCTCGACCAAGATTACCTGAGATGATTAAGACAACTTTTTCTGTCTTAATTTCGGTTATATAGCTGACAGAATCATCCGCATTCTCAAACGTTCTCAAATAATTAATTGATTCTCGTAGTTTTTTCTGAGATTTCAAATTAAACTCCGTTTTATTCACATTATTATCGAGCCATATTAAAGAGAATGTTTCTAAATTTCTGATAACTTGACCACTGGGGTTAGATTCAGTATTAGAAGCCACGATTAATTACACGTTACGAATTACAGTCACGTTACACTTCACATATAAAAATAAAATGTTTAACTTTCATTTTTTTTTCGTTTTATGAGGTAATGGATTTCTTCTTTCTGTTAGTAATAAAAAGTTCCATTAAATCTTTCATTCTCTATATATGAAAAATCAATACTATAAATGGCATCATCTTTATTTTTTTCTACAGTTTCTTTAATCCTTTCTACAAAAAAGCAGCTAATAAATTTACAAGGTGAAACGAAAATGTCTTTCTTGTTGTAAAATGTTGCGTACAGTTATGTTGCGTACAGTCATGTAACTGGTGCGTGCCTCATCTCAAGTATAAAATCAGGGTATCTATCCCAGACGGTCTCTACTGCTTCCGGAACGTCTGACTTCGATGAGCTTCATTCATTTCATCCATCCAAACTTCTGGCTTTTAAGGAAGTTACCCTATCATTAACAAAATAACTAGTGAATGAATACAATTCATTGTTCTTCGTTATGACAAAAAAGATATAGCTCTCTTTCTCTCTATTATTTCCATCCATCCTTCAAAAAGTAGTTCGAAATTGTAATTATGATTACATACAGTTTCTTGTAGCTGATGATGATG